AAGAGCAGCCTGTGGTAAAAGCTTCAGACCTCAGTCGGAGCTACGGTGGTGGGTTGGAATGGGCTTTAGTTTTTGGGACAAGGCAGAGTTGCATGCTCTTTAATTGATTAATGGCGAGCACTGTTACCGCAAAGTCAGCTACTAACTAATTACCCACATCATGAGCCTAGCCCGATGCTCTCCATTTTTATCATATTCTGTTTATAGAGACACCGCAGATGTACTCTGTGTCCCTGTGCATGTTCGTGCCTGATTGGACAGAAGAGAAAAAGCCACAGTGATGTTGCACATTTGAACATTTTGTGAAAAGCTATTTAAGCCGTTTCTCAACAACAACAACAACAGCAACAACAAAAACCCCACAGAGGCACATCAGGTGCCTGCAACAACAACAACAACAACAACAACAACAACAACAACAGCAACAGCATTTGTACTGTTGTAATGATATAGAGTCGCCTCCCGCTGCAGAGGATGTAATGGGGTTGGGGGGGGGGGATTCCATAGAAACACAGCAGCAGTACTTCTATTAATGGACGTTACATTATTGAATATATAATCATCAGATGTGCTCCGGAGCTCGTGTTCAGTCTGCGAGTTTCGTCATGAGCGCTTGTGTCTCGGAGTCGACAGTGAAGTACTTGGAGGGTGAGTACACACCACTGATCACACTGGAGACATGAAGTGGGGACTCGCCAGTCGGGATCGCAGGCACAAGAAAAGCCTTGCTTTCATTTATTTCCCACAGACCACTTGACACACCCCTGGAGGGAAATACTGAAGAGGGAGCTCCGCCCTCCCGAGCCTCTACTTAACCATTTACAACCATTACGGTCCGGCCCGTCAACACTCATCCCAACATCTTCTGTAGACTCTCTCCAGGCTTCAGACATTTCATCTCACTCTTTCTGCAGCAGGAACCATTCATACTTTGAGCTCAATGCACTGGAAAAGATGAAGATGACTAACAGCAAAAGTGGTTGCTGAAAATGTGCGTCACATTGTCAAATATAACTCAAATCACCATGGAAACTGGGTAACAGAGTGTATCAGTGGGTGTTTTTTTTTTTCACCGCTCTCTGTCTCTCTCCCTAGACAAACACAGACTTTCTTTCTCTTCATCCCTCTCCTCGTGTCTTTGTTCACCAAAATATAAACACTCACACATTTCTGAGCCGATGACAACATCACAGGCCGGAATCACGTGGTGGTGGAGGAAAGGAACAAGAACATGTCAGAAAACTCCACTGTCATTGTCTTGTACTGTGTGTGCTAAACCTAATGTATTTATTTAATAAGATCATAACTAGTTACATTGCCGTGTGTTGACGTCTCACCCACTGGCACTGGGAAGTGAGTAGAAACAAATGGTACAAAACCACGACCTCAGCTTAATGTGAATTATATATATATTATATTAATGAACTGAATAGATGATAATACATGAAGGCTGAAAAGGCATTAGGCCTCAATCAATGTGACAGTGAAAACACTGATTTATAAAATCTGTGCATGAAGATTCTAGTTACAATACAAGTTGGACCTTATTTTAAAGCTCCATATTTTCTTTCTTCTTCTGTGTTTTATTTGAAGTGTTGATCCATAAGAAGATACATTTGTGGTTTTAAGAACCAAAAACCATCTCAGTGTAGTTTTACATCTCCTCTCTCAGGCTTCTCTCTGCAGCTCTAGTAACAACAGGTCAGTGAGCCAATCAGAGGAGAGGAGGCTCTGAGCCTCTCTTCTGATTGGCTGACTGTTTTCTGAGTGATCCAATAAAAATAGAGCAGATTTCAGGTTAAAAACACTCAGAGAAACCAAATCCTGCAAGGTTTGGATGGTGGGTCCAGGTGGGCGGGGCTTGGTGACTGCTTTGTTGTGACATCACAAAGTTCCAGAAGTCCTGACGGCTGGTTTTAAGGCTCAGTTTCTGAATACAGGCTGTGTGCATTTCTCTGTGGACTGAGGCTTTGATACTTTCACAGTATTAATATAGAAGCTAGAGCTGATCTATAATCACATGGACAGAGACCTTTAGACTGGATGTGACCTTTAATTATTTTCATATGCTATGAAATTTGGCTATGACCACTATCTGTCGGTGTTATCTGGGAACGCAGCACAGACAAAGTCAGACAGAGCATAAGATACGAGCTGTCCGGCAAACAGAGTGAAAATATTACCCAAAGTGTTTGGTGTGAACATCAGTTTATTGACACTGTTGCTTCTGTGCAGTGAGGGATTATTACTGACACAGATGGATCATCGTATGTGTTTTTTGGGTTTACCACAAAATGCAGAGCCCCATTTCCCGGAAACTGAGCTTAAGAGCTATCTCCCAGCTCAAGTGCATGTGGGTGTGACCGACTCATTTTTGTCATAATGGTGACCATTGGCGGTAGCACAAGCCAGGCACAATGCAGGAAAGACACCACATACATTATTAGTAGAAGGAATACATAATCAGCGAGTGGAGTTGGGGGCGAGCTTCGGTAACGAGCATGAGTTCCTCTCATCCACTTTAAAAGCAGCACACAGATGAAATGAACGGTGGAGGGAGGCTGAGGCTCAAATGATATTCATGTATAATGACGTGCAATAATGTGCAATCTCTGTTGTTGTTTACTTAAAGCTCCAAGTTTTCTTCTTCTTCTGTGTTTTATTTGAAGTGTTGATCCATAAGAAGATAAATTTGTGGTTTAAAGAATCAAAAACCATCTCAGTGTAGTTTTACATCTCCTCTCTCAGGCTTCTCTCTGGAGCTCTAGTAACAACAGGTCGATGAGCCAATCAGAAGAGAGGAGGCTCTGAGCCTCTCTTCTGATTGGCTGACTTGTTTTCTGAGTGATCCAATAAAAATAAAGCAGATTTCAGGTGAAAACACTCAGAGAAACCAAATCCTGTAAAGGTTTGGATGGTGGGTCCAGGTGGGCGGGGCTTGGTGACTGCTTCGTTGTGACATCACAAAGTTCCAGAAGTCCTGACGGCTCATTTTAAATCTCAGTTTCCACGCCACTAAATCTACACTACTTTCATCTCTGTCCAAACGACCAGTTTTGCTCCGTATCAGAAACAAACTCTGTGCATATGAACACACCTGAAAACACATATCGCATGCATGACCATTCACGTGCACTGGGCATGTGCAAGCCGCTATAAACAGGAAGTACCAGTAAAAATACTACAAAAGAAGGGACAGCAATGACTCTTAGTGTAGATGTAGAAGTTAACTAAACAGCAGCTGCTAGCAAAGACAACAAGGTCAGTAACACTTTCACCTCTGGTAGTCGAGGCTGATGAGAACCAATCAGGAGGAGATCGCGGTTGTCTACGTCACTGTTTCCAGAGGTCTCTGTTTCTACCCGTCCACACCAGAACACCACCCCTGAAATACGGCCACCAGCGTCTCCAAAAGTCTCTGTTTGAGGCGCTCGAAAAAACTAACAGAGTGGCGTGGACATGGGTCTCTGCTCAGCTTGGACCGTACAGTGTTATCACAACCAAAGGAAATAAGACACGAGAATAAAACCCAAGTCGTTAATAAACCAGAATGATCCTTCAGTGGGCAGAATGAGAAGTGCAGCGTGAAGTTTATCTGTATTGTAACGTAATATGATGGAGAGACAGAAGACAGAGACAAGTGCCGTTCAACCAGCTTCAACTGCAAATGAGTGAATGAGTGAATGAGTGAATGCATGCAAATGAGACCTGAAGAGAAAATGAACCGAGCAAATATGCAAATGAGCATCACACACAAATAGGACTTGATTATGTTGTATTGTTGTGGATAGACAGTATTATCAAAACAATTATTCCCTTTCAGATGGAAGCGCGGCGTTAACATTCCCCGGATGAGTTGCAAATAAGCCGCGCACGCGACGTGCACGTGCGCGCTTTGTTTGTGCGTGGACCAGTGTGTTAAAGAGAGCTACAGGCGGAGCAGGGAGGGAGGAAGAGCGTTCCCTTTAGAGTGCCCATTAAGTCTGATTACAAGTGATTACCATCTGTCGGAGGGAGATGACCAGTCCTGTCCTGCCACTGAATTAATGACAAACAAATGCTTTTCCTTTCTCGATCTCATCATAATCCGACCACCTCCTGTTTTCTTTTTTCTTTTCTGTCTCTTGAGATCTCACCGTGGAATTAACATGACTCCCAATGATTTTCTTGGCAAAACCAGACCGAGTCAAACAGTCTGTGCTTCCCTGCACATGTTCCTGTTTTGTCACAGTTGTTTTATTTATGGTCATTTTCCTCCTAAAAAAAAAAAAACACACACACACACACACAAAATAAATAAATAAAAACGCCATTCATTTCTTCAAAGGCCGACACACACACACACAAACACACACACACAAACACACACACACACACAAACACACACACACACACAAAGATTGACTCATTTGAGGGCTGCTGGTCCAAAAAGGGAAAGGAAATGTATACTGAGATCTCTCCACCCTTAGTGCAGCGTGGGGGGAAGTATTTATGGTTGTAACCACATGTGGCAACCACCAGAGGTTAAAGCGCATTTGAAAGACGCTGTGGGAGTTGCTTTTGTTGAGGGAAATGCTGCATATAGGTCATAGATGTAGTGCTCTGACTACTTCCTGCCACACACACTCAGCCGAAAAGGTGTTAAAACTGATGTCGTTACTTCAATCTGATGTTTATTTGCTGTACATTTTTTTTCTAATGCCACGATTTCAAAGAGGCGGTAAAAACATGGGCAGGCACCTGGATTGTGGTTGTTTTTTTTTGAAGCCTTATCCCTCAGCAGTGTGAAGCTATTTAAACTTTAAAACCTACACAGTTCTTCAGGTTCATTTTTAATGTCAAGGCAGCATGTTTGCCTTCGTTTCTAGCCGTCCTGAGGACCGACTGGTTTTTGTAGCTGGACTGTGATTTTCATCTTGGTCGCTCATTAGTCTTGACCGGTGTGTGTGTGTGTGTGTGTGTGTGTGTGTGTGTGTGTGTGTGTGTGTGTGTTTTTGTAGGTGTTTCTCTCGGGGAGCTCAGCAGCTCCTCAGCGCTGCCTGGAGTCAGTTCACCACTTCCTCTGGTAAGACCTTCATGTTGCTCAATTCCACACAGCCAGAGTCCTGCAGCCTGCAGAATGCCAATACACAGCACTTCTTTCCACTAGACCTCCCTGCTGTGGCCAAGACACACACACACACACACACACACACACACAGAGGGATATCATCTGTAGCAGTTGAAAGTTGTGATGTAAATGTAATGAAGTTCAGATCTTGGTAACTTTCCAGGCTCCATCAGGATGAATCATGCCAGGCCGGTTATCTCGTCTTTATTCTGCTTCTTGGCTTCTGAGTGCGACATGATTTTTTCAAATTACAATCAGTGTGATATTGATGAGAATATTTCTCCAATAGAAATTACAAATAGCAAATAAATATAATGCAGCAAATACATGTTAACGTCATCCAAAATAATCAGTTTGTTGTTAAGTGCAATAAACCCGTGTAAAACAAAAATCTTTAGAAACTAAATTTGTTTTTAAGTTTGTAAAAATATCTCAATACAGGATTTCCCCAAGAAAGTTGATTCCTGATGAATCCCAGCGCAGCGCGGTCACGATACAGACTTCACATTTAAACCTACAACAACTGATTTATTTTTTTGTTTTCCCTGATGGAGGCAGTGGAGACGATTCGTGAACATGAAACTGATTTCATTCTCTTCAGAACTGATGTGGTGTTAGTTTTAGCAGTTAGCCAACAGTTACAGAGGAACATTATCATTCATTTGGACTCATGCTTTCGGCCTCCTGAGTGAATGTAAGTCCAGTATTCACTCTCTTGAGAATGTGTCTTTAGTTGTGAAATGCTTTGTCTGTGCAGCCGGTTATTATGACTCATAGTTAGGTTTTGTTGCTAGGCGACACCTAGTGGTTGTAGTAATGATGACAGGAGTAAAGGGGAAACGTGTCGGTGACGTAGATTAAAGACAGACAGAGTCCACGTCAGGAGAAGGAGGTGGTGGACGGACGGGTCGACTAAACACGGGTTTATGTTTATGTTTCTTTTATTCTCGACCGTTCAACAAAACCAAACTTTGTTGTAACCGTGACAACAAAGATCATCTAACCTTGAGGAAGTCTTTATCTTAACACGGATCACCATCTTTTACTGAACCTAACCAGGTAGTAGTGCTTTTTTGTGCCTAAACCTGAGCAAACCACGACCATTTATCGTTGTAACCGTGGCGACGAAGGTTCAGTACACTGCTGTCGGTACAGTCCGTGTGTTTGTTATTGTAATCACGCCACACGGGCAGGAGGCAGTGGTATGGGTCGTATCGGAGGGACCCAGAGCGATGCTGCGAGATTGATCCACAAATGTCTGTTTGAATGATGGAAATATTTTGAAGATATTCACAAATGCTTTTCACTTATTTGTAAATTAACTGAATGTATTCACAGATATGTTTTTCATGTGTATTCGCAAGATATTTTTGTGAGTTTACAAATTTATTTTTTGTATTTGTAGAAAGTGTTTTTATATTTACAGATCACACGTTTGCACTCGGGTTGTTGATCTGTTCACACAAATAATACTGAGACAAATCCACCTCCATATGAAACTCACTGTAAATCTCCCTAAAGCCGAGGGGAGCTGCATCACTGCGTGTGATGCCTCTCATATTACACACTAATGTTCCCATGACAAAATATCAGCTGTAGCCACTTTAATGTTAAAGTTCAGTCATTGTGTCAGAGCATTAATTATGAATTATTCAGCTGACGTAATTGCCCTGGCCTCAGCAACAATCAATGTAAAGCATTTAGAATCATAATGATCTAATTAAATCAGAATTACACTCAGGTCTAAAGTTAATAATAATAATAATAACGAATGAGGTTCTGTATTACAGACATTTCTCTTGTAGCTCCGACACTTGTACAAGCCTCGTTCAAACTTGTGCATTTTTATCTATTTTTATCTAAGAGGTCTAAGTTTAGCTGCTATTAATGTCTTCCTATCACATAACCAGTCTGGCAGTGACATGTGACATGATGGGGGGGGGGGGGGGGGTTTCTTTTTTTAATGCCCTCACTACTATCAGGAAGTTGCACAACAGGACACTGTACATTTCAGCTGTGTGACAGGTTTTCCTCCCTGCACACAGTCAAATGATCGTAGGTGGAAACCAGCGTATTCAGACTTCTAGTTGCTGCTCAGTGTCGGTTTTACTTGGATTTTATGTTTTGAACACGAGGATGTTTTCTACATGTGATTGTATTTTCCTTCTCCTTTTTTTCTTTTTTCTTTACCACCTCGCCACTGTCTCGGCGGTACTTCTATGCCGCAGTCTGGGAAGAGGAGGAGCACTTCCAATACACTGAGCCTCGCCTCCATTACAGCAAATAAATAATTAATTAATTCCATGTATCATTATTACTAAAGGAGGAAGGGGAATAACTGAACATAAGATGGAGAGAGCAGGAGAGAGAGAGAGAAGTCATCGTTAACGAGGCTTCGTACTAACGACTGTGACCAACTCTACATATCAAACAGAGGGACTCAGACATAAAGACCTGCTTCTAATAAAAGTCTGTTATGTTCTGGAGTTGAAGTAAATAAAGACTAAACTATTATGGATCCAGACTAGATAAGAATATAGTCTATCTTAACTTACAAAAAAAGAGAGAGAGATAGATTTTCTATTGTTCTCTCTGGGTGTTTATAAGTAAATGCAGCTGAAATCACAGTTCAGTCTTCGTCCTTAATTTAGGTGTTTGGTGATTTTGTCAGACGACGTCACAGTTCAAATCAGGATTTGACGAAAGCCCATATGATGCCAACATCATCAAGACTTTAAATAGCACATTTTAATATTTTTCTAAACCTATATTCACTCACAATAACCAGCAAAGAATTCGCCAGTTTTAATGAATCTCGGCTAAATATTATCAGACTTTAAGAACAATGGATGTTTTGTTCTCCAAACTCCAATCAAAGGGCCATCTATCTAACAGTTTGACAGTCACATGGGTGTATCAGAGCAGGATGTCGGCTATAAAAAAGCCCAAAATTCAAACTACTACCCCTATAGGCACATTTAGCTTCTGATTAAAGGCAGTGTACGTCTTGCTGTACTCAGCACTCACTGACGCCATTTCGAGTAACTTCAAAACCTCACTGTGACTGATTTAATGTCAGCTAATTATAAAGAAAAACTTATGACTGAACTTGTTTTGAAGTAGCTACTACATTTGTCCCGCTTGCGTAACCCTAAAAAAATCCACTGTGTCAAAACCAGCATTGTGTACAGTACACTGCAGGGAGGGAAATATACAGGATGTGACGGCTTATTAAAGAAAGAAGAACGACAGAACGGCCGCGTCGCTCAGACGAGACGTCTGGCTGAAAACAAAAGCTTCCATCCGCACGCACACAAAATGGGAAAATGTGTCGCAGCTAAAAATGTAATGATGATAACTTAAGACGCCAAAAAAAATCATTCATGGGTATGCAGGCGACTGTTAGTGCCACCTGTCAGCCGTTCGTCACGCACCGTGCCTGTGTTCTCATTGCTGGTCGTTACGTGCAGCGCATGGATTATTGGTCATAATACCCCCCCGATGTATTGTTTGCTCAGCTCAGCCCCCTCAGTCTCCAGTGAGGGATCATGCTCATGGCTGTGCAGCGTAACAGGAAGACTGTAGCATTTCTAAAACGCACTGGATAGCCACTGTGTGTCATGGAGTCTTTTTGACATTGGCCTGTGTGTGTGTGTGTGTGTGTGTGTGTGTGTGTGTGTGTGTGTGTGTGTGTGTGTGTGTGTTTTCCCCGGCAGCTCCAGAACTTGATGTAATATGATAAGTGCACTGGAGACTCCCCAAACAAAGTCATTCGGTTGATTCTTCTATCAGCTTGAATTCTTTAATGAAAACACCATCTGCTGTCCTTATTGTGATACCAGTTGCCATGATGATGAGCCTGTATCGCATTGCATAGTGTGATGTAGCTTCGTAAATTAAGTATTAGAGAGCTCCAGGCATAATGGTCAGCAGATCAAGATCGACTCTTATCTGAATACCACCCCTCCCCCACCCCCCAAATAAGATGCATATTGGTCAGGGCTATGGTTATTGTTTACCGCTGCTTGTCAGCGCTGATCGGTGATGCAGGCAGATGTTGTGCACAATGGGATTACCACTGAAGACAGTTAGGAGGGCTGACATTTAAACGTAGGTAAGGTCCTGTTGCCCTTTGTCGAGTTTTCAAAACAACCGCAGCCATAATTCTTATCACAGGTGAATGTGACATTTACCGCCTCTGTTTTACATATTTGTTCTACTGATTGTTCACAGTGGGCGTCGTGTTGTGAGAGTTTCAAGTCAGGTTCTGGATTATAGTTGGTATAAATGTTTTTATACTGATTTGTGCAGCATTTGCTAAATTCTGACAAGATGTTTAAAGGGTTAACAAGAAAAATATTAACCAAATGTTGTCAAGTAGAAGCAATAATCACTGTAATAATGCCCATACAATAACTGAGCACTTTATTAGGAACGCTAGGTAGTTCCTCCCTTTGCTCTAAAAACAGCCGTGGTTCTTCGCGGCATGGATTCAATAAGAAAGTTGGAAACTTTCCTTTGAGATTCTGCTCCATGTTGCTCCATCCACATCCCAAAGGTGGGACGACTTCCAGCTTAATAATGTCACAAAGCGAAATGGGCAAAGGGATGAACACGGCCAGCAACAATCCTCACATAAGATGTGGCATTCAGACCATGACTGATTCGTGTTATGTTTGATTTTTGCCGCCAAATTTTAACTTTCAAAAGTAATTATGTGTTTAAAACACGACGGAGACACTGGAGCCAATGGTAATTATACAGCAGGGAAGTGGAAAGTCTTTCTCACAGCTAAAACAAAACAAACCTTGGAATTTAAAATGTCATTAAACTAAACACCAATAAACACATAGGATTAAAAACTATCAAGAGTTGTTTGGATTGTTATTACAAGACGTATGTTTGTAGCTAAGCTAACAAGGAAGGTAACGTCAACTGGCATAGCATTTCTAATT